GCGCAAAAGGGGAGAGTAAACTATACAAAAAACTATATTTATACACGACTTACATTCAATAAGACCTTCTTTGTCTTAAATTCGCATTAACATTTTCGACATTTTGTTTTTGTGCAAGGACATAATGAGCGTTATAAGTGAATTCAAACAAACACCCTTTGTTACTGCATTTTGTGCAAAAAAACTTCACAGGATAGCTAAACATAATTTTTAAAATACAAAATCTGCAATGTTAATGCAAATAAATGTGATTCCTTTAACTCGTCCTCAGATTCAAATCCGAACAATTTTGAACAAACTTTTTCCAATTCTGGAAGGCATATCTTCTGTACCTATTTTACTTATTTTGGAGTTGCTTCATAATATAATCAACATTAAAGTGCAGTTTGGTTCTCTATTTCGTAATAGCAAAGGGAATTTCTTCACTATGAGACTACTCCCAATTTCCCCAAAATTATTGGCCATTTCTCTTAATAAATCTAACAAAAATGACGATTTCGCAGGATTCAATAAACTGAATGAATCAAAAATTTTTACTAAATATATGCTAAAGTACCGAGTCAAATTTCATCATGAAAGTTGCATGGTCTTTAGCGACTACTGTACTTACTTATAGATTATTGAATGACAAATTTGGACATTTTTAGTTTCCGTACCTATATAATTTATTGGGTTTCTTTTTATCCCTGAAACAAAATTGATGGTCAGGAAGTTCTACTCCAAATTACCTGATGTCTAACTTACCCCTCTGGAATTTCATTAGGAAAATTCGCGGTGAGATACGCCGCGCAAACCTTCATTGTGCATGAGGAACAAATTTACGCTAGTGTATTCAATTTGGTTCAGATAACGTATTTATATTTAAGTTCAGTTTTCCGTTCAGTTTTCAGTTTATTATCATAATCACTAATTTTGTTTTATTTTTAGATCATTTTTAAAGTCAAGTGAGTTTAGCTTACTTTTGCTTACTTTTTTTAGTTAGTTGCTTTTATTTCAGTTGGTTATTTTTTAATTTTTTTATTTCGCAATATCTGTATAATAGCACATTTCAATTATGGCGGGCTTTTTGTTGATAAAAATTAGGTTCAGAAGAAGAGGAAGAAGCGATCAGTGAAACAAGAGGTTTATTGTCCTGATGTTTCGGATTCCGTCGGGAATGCTTAATCATAGGTAATAGTATAACAGTTTGAGACATGCGCAGATAAATTTATATAAATGATTATTACTGCCTTTTCTACTTTTATAAACTTTATTTTTTATTTATATTTCCTTTACTTTGTATTGCCCAGACTGTATACTCTTTATTTAACCCAGTCCTGTGATAGAACCATGTGGCTAGGAGCTAGACTTGGATTATACCCCAGGCAGTATTTAGAGATAAAACAAGAATGCCAGAATGGTCCACTTTTGAGGCTATTGGACCAATCAGCGATTAGTAGCCACCCTATATAAGGTCCGGCGGCCGCACGCCAACATTAGATTACGTCCGCCAGAGCAGTGATCACACACCAAGACACAGAAATGACACTTGCCTTTGTTTTGTTGCTGATTGCCCCTCTTATCTGTCAGTCCTGCAATTCAAAGGGTACGTGACGGTTATTAAAATTCGTCCGATTTCCGTTAAATTTGTTCCCTGTAGACATACACAATACCCTTTGAAAAGGCTACCTCTATCCAAATCCTGTTGGTAGTAGTTATATGCAAATCTTTGTAAAAGAGTGAAATATAATGACTGCCTTTTTCTTATAATCTAAAACATTTCGAGTTTTGCTTATATTATGAAAATAAGAAGGAGGATGCCCACTAGACCCTGAGGGTTACCCTGCACTACCCCACTATGTGCAAGAACACGTAAAAGAACTCTCTGAAATCTGGACTAATTTGCCCTATACCCCGGAGACAGTAATCGTTTTTTTGATGTCCTTTGAGAGCCCGGGACGTATGAGCTCTTGCAGGGAAACAGGCAATGAATACTACCGTACCTCCGTATATTATGCTTGCAGAATTAATTTTCCCAGAGTTTTCCTGCAGTTTCAAAGAGTGGTAAGTTAATGACAAAGTAAATGCTTAGACCTGCATCTAGCATAGATAATTTCCGATTTGTTAACCGTTTGTTTTGTCATGCCTAGAACCGAAATAATCCACAATCTTCGGAATGGGAGCCAATGGCGGTTGCATTAGACGACGTCAGGGCGTACACAAAAGTAACGAGCATGAGTCTGCGGGGTCGAAATCCCTACGCCTACGTGATCACCGGACTTTACTTCCCCAACCTCTCCGACGACCTTGTGAAAACCGTCGGAGAAAACCAAACATCCGAGTGGCAAGCATATTTCATTCAAAATGCAGAACGATTTGCTAGCCAAGCCTATGCGAAAGGCAATTCACCAAAGTGCTCCGTCTGATGATTTTCGGTTTCGCCTACTTGATATATACCTGTCAGAACTTCATTTATTAAGCATATTCCTTAAGTGTGGGTGTGTTTATACGTAATGTTGATTGTAAGAACATAAAAGAAGCATAACACCGATTGCTCCGTGGCTTTGTTATTTATTCCTGCTAAAATTCCCATTTTTTTACGATTGAATAGTCGTATTGGCAAACAATTGTTTTCGGTCATTCATCATCAGGCCAGTACATGACATGAAGAATTAAAATGCACAGTTAATTGCAGCGTTTATATAATCTTCAGGCTGGGG